CAGTGCTGCTGTTTTTCACCTCCGTGCAGACCAGTTAGCTCAACAAGAGATTCCTTGTTCTCTCCCCCTCTTTTCCTCTCTCACCCAGACTTTGTGTATGACTACACTATTGCTGCAGTGGTTTTAGTACCAGTAATGATAATCTGGCATCTGCTTTCAAACTGATGTCACTGGGACACAACTGCATAACTGTGCTCAAAAATCTGTGCCTCACTTACCCCTTCATAAAGTGGGGCAGGAGGGGTAGAAGCACTTTCCAGGAATCTGTAACAGAGCTAAAACCCAGACATTTTCAAGTACTTAGTAAGAAAGAGACATTATTACCTGTTCTTAAAAAACTATTCAGAAAGGGAGAACGTGGTATAGACACATCATCAGGTGGTGCCTAAGTGGCTGTGTACCACCTCTTACAAACTGTTTCATACTGATGTCCTTAGTGCTTCTAGTATTGGTCCATTCAGTTTAACACTCTGCATTTTGGAGGAAGGGTATAGACTGTGGTAGGTAGGTAGCAAAAAACAACCCCCCGAAGTTGCCTAACAGGTGTTCCAAGTAGAAAATAAGATTCAAGCAGTTCATGCTGCAAGCTTTAAGCTGCAGAAATGCAAGCTGTACTCTGTCACTTGATTCTTTGGTTTGTAACCAGCATATTTCTGTTCCTAGAATTGATGGTGATGGTCATTCGAATTCGTTGTCAACTACTTATAAGTCTGTTTCCCTTCCTCTGAGCTCTCCAAACGTAAAGCTGAATCTGACCAGTCCAAAAAGAGGCCAGAAAAGAGAAGAAGGCTGGAAAGAAGTGGTTAGAAGGTAATGATTTTAATACTCTGTTTGCAAACTAATTGTGAGCTTTTCGGCTTGTAAATTACTCTCAAATACAGAATGTCCAGCAAGATTATATAAATGTAGAATTAACTTATAAAACATCTGCCCACTCACTCTTGCAGTGCTGTGAGAACAAATTGCAGTCCTAATTTGTAGTAACTCCTCACTAACTCAATGTCAGCATGACACAAACATTTTGTTTGGCACAAGGGTTTTCTTTACTGGTGATTTCAGCGGAGTAAATGATGTGGGGACAGGATAAGAGGAAGGGAACAGAAGGCAGTCAAAGCCCTACAGCAGATGATTGCACGTGAACTAAAGGCAGGGTGGATGTGAGTAGAGGAGAGGTGCATGGTCTCTTCAGGGCCAAAATTCATTGTGGTTTGGGCAGTGACCTTGATCACTGATTCCATGGAAAAATCTGTCACCTTAAAGTGAGTGCTTAGAGGTACAGTAAGGTTTAAAGATTTTCTGTAAAGCAAACTTTTCTTTTGAAAGTCAACTGGGTTTTATTGTGTGGCCATTAACACCCCAGTATCTTGTCTGTAACCTTTATGATGTCTGCTGCTTGTAACTAGAATGATCATCTGGCTTTCCTTTTTTTTTTTGTTCTCTTTATCAAAAAGGAAAAAAGGAATACAGCACGAACATACAAGTGTCAGATGCTTGGGGTGCCCTCCTGCTTTTGTGTTCTGCAGTGGCAGTGACCACATATGCTCCTTTGGAGAATTTTAGGCTGTGTGCAAAGAACATAATTGTACAGAGGATTTAATGCACTCAGATTAGTGGAGCCACAGACTGTTCTTAAGAAAGGTTAAAAAGGCAGATTGATATGAAAATTTAAGTATTTGAACCCTTAGAGAGTTGGTTCAGCCTCTGCCTCTTGGTCACAAATGGGGCTCTCCAGAGTGATGTGGCCTTGCTGGGTGCATGGTGCAGCCTCCCCCCCACCTGGGGAGTCATGCAGGCAGGAGCCCATCAGACAGGCACTGCCTGGGGCTGCTCCCACTCTCCTCCTGGGGCTCTCGAGTCTCATCAGCTCAGCTCAACTGCTCACATGGGCATTGTCTGCTCCTCTGCTGGCGCTGGCAAGGTTCTAGAGGTGGCATCCAGAGCCTGCCCTGTCCTCCTGCCTGAGGAATCGGGCCCTGTGCCACAAGGAACATGTCCATACAGTGTTCTGCACTGGTGTTTGCTGTGCCCTGACTGATGGAAGTGTGTCCTGCCAAGGAGCTTTGTTGGTGACTGTAGATGTGAGGGCGCAGTGCCCGGGAGCTGCATGTCTTCCTCTCCTAAAGTCTCTTCTGGTCTCAACAAGAACTCTTCTCCTTCCCTCTCCCTGTGAGTGACCCTGGGCTAGAAGGGATGTCTATCAAAGTAACCGATGCAAACATCCCTTCTGCCCCTGACAGGCAAGTGGGCAGAGTTTTGAAAGACCCTCCCCCCAGCAGCACTCTGCAGCCAACACCAATTGAGCAATTTCAGCTGCAGAGAGGAGGACGCTGCTGTTCTGGAGCAAAAAGGTACTGTTTTGGGCACTTCTTCAGGTCAAAGCCATCAACCTTGG